TGGGAGATGGTTGGGGTGTCATGTAGATGTGCAGTAAGGTTTCAGAATTTTGATTTTGCCCCAGGGGGTCAAATGGGGGTCGAAAAATGATGTTTTTTATGCAAAAAGCCCCGTCTTCCCTGAACTCCTCTTACATTTTACACAGTAGGCTAATCATCTTTTGGGAGATGGTTGGTGGTGTCATGTAGATGTGCAGTAAGGTTTTGGAATTTTGATTTTGCCCCGGGGGGTCAAATGGGGGTCGAAAAATGACGTTTTTTATGCAAAAAGCCCCGTCTTCCCTGAACTCCTCTTACATTTTACACAGTAGGCTAATCATCTTTTGGTGTCATGTAGATGTGCAGTAAGGTTTCGGAATTTTGATTTTGCCCCGGGGGGTCAAATGGGGTCGAAAATGACGTTTTTTATGCAAAAAGCCCCGTCTTCCCTGAACTCCTCTTACATTTTACACAGTAGGCTAATCATCTTTAGGGAGATGGTTGGTGGTGTCATGTAGATGTGCAGTAAGGTTTCTGAATTTTGATTTTGCCACGGGGTGTCAAATGGGTGTCGAAAATTGACGTTTTTTATGCAAAAAGCCCCTTCTTCCCTGAACTCCTCCTACATTTTACACAGTAGGCTAATCATCTTTTGGGAGATGGTTGGTGGTGTCATGTAGATGTGCAGTAAGGTTTCGGAATTTTGATTTTGCCCGGGGGGAATGGGGGTCTAAAAAATGACATTTTTTATGCAAAAAGCCCCTTCTTCCCTGAACTCCTCCTACATTTTACACAGTAGGCTAATCATCTGTTGGGAGATGGTTGGTGGTGTCAGGTAGATGTGCAGTAAGGTTTCGTTATTTTGATTTTGCCCCGGGGGGTCAAATGTGGGTTGAAAAATGACGTTTTTTATGCAAAAAGCCCCGTCTTCCCTGAACTCCTCTTACATTTTACACAGTAGGCTAATCATCTTTAGGGAGATGGTTGGGGGTGTATTAGATGTGCAGTAAGGTTTCGTAATTTTGATTTGGCCCCGGGGGGGTCAAATGGGGGTAAAAAAAGCATTTTTTATGCAAAAAGCCCTGTCTTCCCTGAAGTCTTCCTTAATGTTACTCAGAAGCCTAATCATCTTTTAGGAGAGTTAAATATTTTGAAAATTATGTAAAACATCAACGTCAAGGGGTAAAAAAAGCATCACATGCTGGGAAACACCTTGAATTCTTATGAGTAATTAATGTATATGTAAAATGTGAGAGTCATATCTCATCTCAATCAAAAGATATAAGCAAATGCAACATTTTTGAAAAGTAGAGGCTTTGACCTCTTCAAGGTCAAGGTCACAGAGTAAAAGTCATGATTTATTTAGAAAGGTCTTATCACAGGTAATAATATACATGCATTATGATATGAATGCCCTAACTTTTCTCTTTCAAAATGATGAATTTATAACAATTTAATTTTTTTGCAAGTAGGTCAAACTTCTAGGTCACAGGTAAAAAAAACAAGATGTGTTTGTGAAACACTATGCGCCCGGCGGCAACAAAGTTCAAAAAATCTATTTTTAGCATATTGATCACAGTCAAGGTCACAAGGTCATTGACCATGGTGTCATTCGAAAGAACTTAATCAGTGGAGTAAGCATACTAAATATGAAGTCCCTATCTCCTATGGTTCAAAAGTTATGGCAAAAAGTGTAAAGAGCCATTTTTAGCATATAGGTCACAGTCAAGATCACAAGATCATTGACCTTGCCGTCGTTTGAAAGGACTTTATCGATGGAGTATGCATACCAAATATGAAGTTCCTATCTCCTATGGTTAAAAAGTTATGGCAAAAAGTGTAAAAAGCTATTTTTAGCATATAGGTCACAGTCAAGGTCACAAGATCATTGACCTTGATGTCGTTTGAAAGGATTCTATTAGTGGAGTATGCATACCAAATATGAGGTCCCTATCTCCTATGGTTAAAAAGTTATGACAAACAGTGGAAACAGCTATTTTTAGCATATAGGTCACAGTCAAGGTCACAAGGTCATTGACCTTGATGTCATTTGAAAGGACTTTATTACTGGAGTATGCATACCAAATATGAAGTCTCTATCTCTTATTGTTCAAAAGTTATGGCCAAGGTTAAAGTTGACAACAGACAGACAGACAAACAGACAAACAGATAAACAGACAAAAAGACAAACAGACAGGACAAAAACAATATACGCCCGGGATCTATCGATCCGGGCGCATAAAAAACCATGCCATTCTCACAGGTAAATACTAATACATAAGTTTAATATTCAGTAGATATGACCGTGATGACCAAGGTTAAATTTATTGAGACAGATGGACAGTCTGACATATAAATATACATATTTCTGTATGAATTGGGTAAAATTGGCCCAGTGGTTCTAGAGAAGTTAAAAATGTAAAAAGTTTTCAGACAAACAGATGGACGACACGTCACGACAGACGTTATATGTTAAGGAAACCAGAAAAGCTCAAATGAGTGTTTTGAAAGGGTTAGAATATGGTTGCAGTATTTGAAAAGCTGTTTTTTTCATGCAGAGATATGCATGACCAACATATTCATGTTTTATATTTTCTTTAGTAATTTGTTTGTTTGTTGTGAATACATCTCTCTTGGGAATTTTTCCCTCATATGGAGACACCACCAAATAATAATGAAGACAAGATGTGTTTGTGAAACACTGATGTCCCTGTATGGAAGCCTATGGCGAAGGTTGAAGTTTCTCAAATATATGTCAAACTCAAAGTTCAAGGTCAAAGGGTTCAAATTGTTAGTATCAGAAGAAAGTCTTGTCACAAGGAATGCACATGTGAAATAAAGAAATCCCTGGTAATTCCTGTTCAAATGTTAATTGCCAAGGTTATTTTTTTTTTAAGTGGTTCAAACTCTAGGGTCAAGGTCAAACATATTTATACCTGTTGACAGTTCACAATGAATACACATGTTAAGCATGAAAGCCCTAGCACCTATTGATCAAAATTTAGGCCAAGTTTAAAGTTTGGTATTTTTCTTGTAAAAATGTGTATCCTAGGTCAAGCGATTTCAGGTAAAAATTAATGGTACCCAAATAAAAGGTCTTAATTGTCACAAGAAATAAACCTATAAAATGTAGAAGCCATTTGTATAGCCCATCCCACTTAAAACTTATGGGTAAGGTTATAATTTCTGCAGACAAATAGACAGACATAATATAAACACAAGAAACAAAATATGTATAATTAGTCAAATGGAAAATAATATACTATTTATTTGGAATAACTAAATAGATTGTTATTTCAGGGACAGGGAGTGGGTAGGGAGATTGGAATCCCCCCCATCCCCCCCCCCCCCCCCCCGGAATTTGCTTTGTTATTTAAACAAGACTATATACTGAAGCAAATAAAAAATGACTTTGGACATCCTCCCCCTAACTGAGAAAACATTGACCACACCATCATTGTTTTTATTTTGTTTATTTGTTAATTTTCAGGTTTTTTTTTCTCCTGCTTGTCAGGAAATTCTGGGCTGGAAATTTTTTGACTGAGATGTGATCGAACCCCTCTCCCTACTCCCGAAAAAAATTCTGGATCCGCACCAGTATTGGCAGTAACTGAATGTCACATCGACAATGGCAGATAACTTCACAATATGAAATTCGTCTAGTCAGTGACGTAACAACTTGTTATACGTCACTGGTCTAGTGTGGCATGCGATGATCTTTGACCCTTTTTGAACTTTAACCTAATCGTTTGGGTTTATTTTACTCCCCACTATACTTAAACTTGTACTTACCGACTGCCATACATGTTTGTCTCGTCAACTTCATTATAAATCCAATTATAACACAAAATGAATTAATCCAATGCACACCAGACTGCAGCCATGTGCTAATTCCATTCGACAAACCTTCGTCGATTCCGTCACCTTATCAGATGAAGTGGGAATCGGCCGAGGTGTGCCAAATGGTGTTTAATCTAAAAATATGATAATGGGTGACGCAACGTGATGTGATGTAGAAATTTACATGTTAACATGTATAGTACAAGAACAAATTTTAAATTAATTCATAACAAACGATGTTTTAACAAAACTTTTCCATCTAGCCTATTCCAAACAGTATGTGCTGTGTGATTGTGGTGTCGACGGGGGGATTAATAAATTTAAAAAGGTCCTATTATGAGCAAAACATTTATCAAAATCTAATTTACATCATTAATAGAATTCAAACTGGTATATAATGAATTAAGCATGTAAAATAAATATAAGAGGTTCTGAGTTATAGGTCACAGGGCCGGTCTGAGAATTTCATACTCAGTTTGATGAATACATGCAAATCATTGGTGTCGGAAGCAAATTCAAAGTGGGGGGGCTAGGTGTAAAAGAATTTTTTTATACCTTCTAAAAAAAACCTGACAAGCAAAAAAAACAAAAACAAAAACAAAACGAAAACACATCAATTTCCCAAACATGAAAATCTTATTTCGGGGGGGGGGGGGGGGGGTTGAATTCGAACTTCAGTAACAAAAATTTTTTTTCTAAACACTACCATTTTCCCATTTTTTACCTATACTGCCATGTGTCTGTGGAAAGTGGGGGGGGGGGGGCTAAATCTATGAAGCAATGTTCAATATCTATACTAAGTATATGTTTGGAAAAAAAGCCCCGGCCCTAGCCCCCCCCCCCCCCCCCCCCCCCCCGGTTCCGACGCCTATGTAAATTATAGAATTATTTTGACTTTTTCCTTGGAAAGCCGGCCAATATGTAGGAGCGTGTTTTAGAGGCAAACACCTTAGTGCGGGTATTACTGTCTCATGACAGCATCTAGTTTAACTCTGTTACAAGCCTACAACAAACGGAATATTTTAAATGATCATGAGTATTTTTAGAAAATCACAAAGGCATGATTTTATGCCACTTACTAGTAATAAAATTTAATCTTTGTATAAAAAAGTTGAATACAACATTTTGAAATTCATATTTCATAAAGGATTATAAATATTCTAATAATAAATATCAATGACACCACTTTTATTTAAATTTTAGCGTGTACACGAACTTTACGGACAATCCTTGTATGTACATAATTATAAATCTATTTGTATAGTACATGGTATCGATGTAGCCCTTGTGGTTAAACTCTTGTTTTCTGCTTCAAAACGTGCATTTTAAGTACCCCGGTACTTCATAAATATGAGAATCAAAATGATAATATCCACTTCAAAAATAAATTCCATACACAACACCTAGGTACCTAAAATTTTAATTTAATATGCATATACAATTCAGTATACTAGTACACTTGTATTAGGTTCAAATATTTATTGCACATATATATATAAAAGACTAAAATTAGGGAATTCTTCTAGCATTGATACCCTTTTGAACACGTGTTATTAAAAGAAAGAATTTGTACATGTATAAGGCTTAGACTTTGACAGGGTTTCATATCTTTGATGAACTTTCTGTTTTAAAAAGTACATGTATGAAATGCCTTGTAGATACCATTTATATACAACAGTCAACTAAATATAAAATTTTATAAAATTATACCCTGTAAAATCAACATTGTAGCATCAAAGTGGATAGTAGAGGCCGGTCCTTCGGATGAGACTTTTTAAACCGAGACTTAAAGTGCCGCGTATTGGTCAATATTTGCAGCTACCCACGACCAGTGATGGCGTCTCTTTGTGTATGAAAACATCTCGAGAGGGACGTTTAACAAGAAGCAAACAAACAAACCAAAAAAAAGCTCAGATGTTTGGACATTGACCACGACATTTTTCAATCCGGCGGTATGAAAAAAGGAACTCAATTCTGCAGAAATCTAAATAAACAGAAATAATGTTTTCGAAGAAAGTGTTAAAAAATTGGATAAAGCCTGATTACAGGATATTGTTTGATTGATATTTCTATTTCAACCGTCATTTGCGATATCGTATCACTTTAATCTGCCCGGTGAGGTAGTTCCCAACCAGCAGATTACCTTCCTCGTCAATATCTAAAGGGATAGGAGCGTCTAATCCACAATTGTCCACACGTTTTAGATACAAACCATTTTGATCAAGAATGTGCAAACAATTGTTTATATAATCAGTTACAATAATATTGCATATAGAATCTGTAGTTATTTGGTCGGGGATAAAGTTTTTTTGGAGAAATATAACTCTTCCTTGAAACTTAAATCTGAACTTCCCTGCCTTGTCAACTACAATGACTGCATCAGCATTACCATCGGAGACACAGACGTCTCCATTTTTATTCTCTGCAACAAAGTGTCCACAATCTCCAAAATGAAACAAAGGTTTCTCTCCATTAAACTGAATTTCTTGAATTATTATCAATTCCCCTTTTATTTTCGACATATCACATCTGATAATCTTAACCTCCTCTGAAAACATATTGGATACACAAACCAGAAGTCCGCCTGTACTTGTTGCACAGAGTCCTTCGGTCCACCAATCACGTTTTGCTAGAAGCAGTTTTGACACACCATCTTTCACGCTGAAAATACCCTCTCTTTCCCCACTGTAGTATATTCCATGGTCGACCATCGTAATATCACTTGGCGGAACTGGACACATCATTTCATTATTACCTTTTTCATCGGTGGAATCACCCAATAGATGTAAGTGGTAAATTATTGGTTTCGTGTACTGGTTTATCCACACTTTAGATCCTTCACACACAAAACGGAAAATGTTTGTGATCTTCGTTTGAATCGTTTTTATAACTAAAGCTTTGTTTAGCAGTCCTGGCCCATCATGGGAGACCGTGTCTTCTGCAGAATTATAATGGAGATCAACCTCAAGGTTTCCGAATTCACCATCATGAACTTCTTGTACCAGACTAAGAAACTTCCCTTGGACAACAATGGGAGATTTTATATTCTTTTGAAAGTCACAGGAAAAACGGCAATTGATGGGGAATGCCTGGTCATCCTTTTTGAAGTTTAATATCATCTTTAAAGTATCCTTTTCATCATCCAAATGAATTATATCACGATATTTCTGAAGCTCCTGTGATGCTTTAGAATAAGCTTCATTCACAGAAACATTCTGGTTTTGAAATTTTGATTGTATAATGTCCTTTTCAACATTCATTCGTTTTTGAAAACTAGTAAAAACATTGTTAATGTTCTCGAGGATACTGTGTTTTAATTCCTCTGCTTTCTTTAACACTACATCAATTTCATTGTTTGCATCTGTGTACTGTTTTTTCAATGACGTTTTTTCCGTTAGCAGTTTTGGCATGATAGTTGATACTAAGATATCGGAATCTGCTAAAATTTGTTTCTTTTGCCTTTCTATGAATTCCTGCATGTAACCAAAAGCATGTTTAACATGGACTTTAGATGAACTCCAACATTTTAGACAAAGTGGAACGTTGCATTGTCGACAGAAAGTATCAAGTTTGTAACAAGGATGCTTGCTGCAGAATGGAATGTCTATATTAGACTTCTTGTGTCTGTACAGTACTATGGAATGGTGGAGATGTCTGAATTCATCCACGTGCTGGTTAACACATTGTCTACAAAAATTATTCTGGCATTTTTCGCAAACAAACTGGATTCCCTGTTGACATTTGGAGCATGTTTTGAGGCGTTGTATCATTATCATGATGAATTTTATTATGCTTTTATTGCAAATTAATAAGATTGGCTAGCTGTTTTCGGGCATTTTAAGTTTTTAAAGTGCAGCTATAACCATTTCTATAAAGTAAAGAAAAATGCATTAGATAGACACTTATTTCATCATTTAATAATAATAAAAATACCGTATTACTGAAGCAAAATTTAATGTGTCTTGATTTTGTTTTCTAATATGATCTTAAAACTGTTCAGAACTGAATATGCTGTATTACAAACAAATGAATAAATACAGTGTAATTATTATAATATATAAACTCTGTCAGAATAGAAACAGAGAATGGTTTTGTTTTGCTTTCTGTAAACATAAATGAATACGGATACAAAATAAAGCCTCGATACGTATTATTATAACATTTGTTAGCCTTGGGACAAATTTTGTAGCTTTCCACCGGGAAGTGATGGCGTCTCCATATGAGTGAAAAATTCTCGAGAGGGCGTTAAACAACATACAATCAATCAAGGTGCCGAATGCATGGCTTAGGAACAGTTGCTACCCATGTTTATCGACTTAGGTTAGTTGCCGCCGAAATTCAAACTCACAACCTTTCGAACACGAGTGCATTTATGCGTTTGAAACAGAGCATTTGAAGAATCTAAACTCAATGGTGGTTCAATGAATTTCCCAAAGGGGCGTTAGACCTAGATGTAAGCTGTAGAATTCAAACAGTGGAGGAAAAAAGAGATTGACTTTAAAATTACAAAATTGTAAACGCGGATCTGTAAAAACATCGGATGTTGTTTAATGCGCAAAGAAATTAGAACCACCAAATGAACAGTCATATCAGCAGTGTGCTCTTTGTCATTATTGGCCAAATGGAATGGGTAGATGAAGCTCATACTTAGATGGATCGGGGAGGCTGGATATTGCATTGCTATTGCATGTTTATCACACTGCTTAACGCGTTATCGGCAACTCGGTTGTTATCGGACACGCGGTTCAAGAAAAGCAAAGTTTAGAAAATGTGAGTCATTTTAAATTTCATATTTATAACGATAAATTTGTATTTCAGCAAACAAAGTTTGTGATCTATGACATACAATTGATTATACTTTCCGCAGCAGAGAGTACAAACCAAATCACTCTCTTTTAAAAGATCTACAGCTCTTTCGGAACAGATAAGGTAGTTCTTTTATAAATTTATAATTATTAATTTTATTCATTTTCAAGGATTGGCAGATTATAATGGACTTTTTTCCAATCTATTTCTGAAGCTAAATTTAACTTATTAATTTAAAAGATTATACATCATTTTAAATATTTCTTTCACAAATCTCAAAACAGAATTGAAAATAAGTTTATCAAAGGACAATTCAAGTTGCCCTTTATTTTTAACACAGCTGGGTACTTGTAGTAGCCCACAATGCATTGCAGCTCATTCAGCAGTAGGTAAAGTAAACATATAGCTAATTTACATGTAAAATTTATGCTGACGCCAGAAAATCTAGTGGTCTCGACCTGGTCCAGTGACATAAACGTGTCAAGAACGGTAAAAATATGCATTTTCGGTTTGGCCGGAAGTGACGACACAGGACGTATTTGAATTATCTTAATAGATTTCTTGCCATTTTCAGGGATATGCGATTTCTTGTCTGGGACTGGGACATCTACGATTTGTTGTGCACTTTTTGATCTGTCAATAGATTTAAATAAAACAGAGAACACATAAGCAATGTATTTTTCTACATTTACTGGTATACTATTATGTAAACACAAAATTTCAACACATATTAATATGCTGTAATACATTTTGTACTTCAGATTCGATTGCAGTTGCAGGAAGATGGTCTGAATGTTTATTTTGCCCCTTATTTTCCTATAACAACATGAACAAAGTGCTTGCTGCATATATATAATTTATGTATCCTTAGTGACCTTTGCAGTTCAAAATCCTTCCCGTTTTAATTCACCCATCGTTTACATTTTTTAATATCTCTCCAAGGCTTTGGAAATCTTATAAATTCAACTCCTTGCATATATTTTTTCGTGAGTGTTACTATTGCAGAGTCCATGACAACAGTGTTTAGTTGCACCCTTTTTACACAAATAAGCCATATCATTGCTAAATTTACACCACAAAGTAAGATTCAAGCCACTATTTTGCTCATGTAAACAAAGAAACATGCGGATCAATTTGTCTGCATCTTAGTAGTATATGCAAGCTCTACTGATAAGGAATTTTCACAAGAGGCCCATGGGCCACATCGCTCACCTGAGCATTGTGGCTAGGAAAAAGTAGAAATTGGTTTATTATTGAAAAGTTTAAATCCAAAAGTTGTCCAATGACCAATCATGGATTTGCTATTCTTGAGAAGATTTTTAATGAATTTTCCTATAGATTTCTATGTAAAAGTTTGGTTGGCCATTTTGGCCCCGCCCTACCCCGGGGGTCATGAACAAACTTGAATCTACCCTAATTGAGGATGCTTCTATATGAATATGATTAATTATTGCTCTGCGATTCTTGAGAAGAAGATTTCTAAAGAATTTTCCTAAACCTATATATTTCTATGTAAAAGTTTGGTCGTCCATTTTGCCCCCGCCATACCCCTGGGGGTCAAGATTTGAACATAGAATCTACACTACCTGAGGATGCTTCTATATCAATGATGAATTATGTCTTTCTCATTCTTGATAAGATTTTTAAAGAATTTTCCTATTATTTCAATGTAAAACTTTGGTCGGCCATTGTGGCCCCACCCTACCCTTGGGGGTCATGATTTGAACAAATTTGAATCTACACTACCTGAGGATGCTTCCATATAAATGTGATGAATTATGGCTTTGTCATTCTTGAGAAGAAGATTTTAAAGAATTTTCCTATATATTTCTACATTGTGGCCCCACCCTACCCCCGGGGATCATGATTTGAACAAACTTGAATCTACACTACCTGAGGATGTTTCCCCATAAGTTTCATCTTTCCTGGCACAGTGGTTCTTCCGAAGAAGATTTTTAAAAGAAACAACCAATTTTTCATTAAATCCCAATTATCTCCCCTTGAATGAGGGCGTGGCCCTTCATTTGAACAAACTTGAATCCCATTTATCCAAGAATGCTTTGTGGCAAGTTTCGTTGAAATTGGTTAGGCGGTTCTTGAGAAGAAGTCGAAAATGTGAAAAGTTTACAGACAGACAGACAGATGGACGGACAGACAGACGGACGCCGGACAAAATGTGATCAGAAAAGCTCACTTGAGCCTTCGGCTTAGGTGAGCTAAAAACAGACGCAGCAGAGATTCTGAACCTGTGCTACAAGTATCAAGAATGCATTATGGCGACTATCTGTAAGTTTTTTTTAATCGCATCGATCTGTCCACGTATGCAAAAAGTGTGCAAAATAACAATGGCATTGAATAGCATTTATATAAATATCATTAACATAGCAAAATATTATTTACTTAACCTTGTTCTCCTCGATAAATAAAACAATTAAATTGCATGTGGAGAAACTGTGTTACCTACCGGTAGCTTACCGATTAAAATAATTTGAAGCTGCGTTCAACATTTTCACGGCATCCATTAAGAAATTGAAAAAAAAAATGACTGTGTCCAGATTCTTTCCGGGCTCGATTTTCAGTGGGCATTTACTAATTGTTTTCATTTCCTAAATCCGATATTCCTCTGACTTTTTTTATATTTAAACAGATGAATCTTGATGTAAAATGCCGAAAATCATTCAATAACTCATGTCATTTTAATTTTTTTTTTAGGAATTAATCAATTGCAAGGACCCTTTATAATTATAATGCGTCTTTAGAATACTTATAGGCACTTGCTGCTTGTTTCTATTTGCTACTGATAAAGGAGAATTGATAATACGAGGAAAATAAACATAAGAGTATCAGAAAACAATAGAGTATGAACAGATATGATAAGCAGCGTACGCCGTATTTCATTTTGGCTGACAATTTCAGCTGAATTTTAAACACCGAAAAACAAGTAAACTATGCATGACTTTTTTATGATAAACTCAAAGTAAGCAGTAGTTCAATTCTTATTTGCTGGTTAATTTCGTATTATCGCTTTTTAAAGGTTTTTTTTTGGGAGAGGGGGGGGGGGGTTCGCTGGCGGCAAAACCAGATGTAACATTTATTCTGAAAACAATGATAAGGAAGGTACACATATCTCACTGAATTACAATCTCCAATCAGATTTACTACGTTCATTAGAAATTTTATTCTATGTTGTAAAAATCCTTCTTTACGGATAATGAATTTTAAAAATGAATATGAGTGAATCACCATTTTAATGTATTATTGATTGATTTATAATAATATCTTTTTACAATCAAATCCAAATGCAAATTCGTTTTGATAAAATAGCTTATACTCGTAGGAGGATATTCTCATGCCTTATCATTTCTCTGTATTGTCACAAACCCAGTTCACAGATATTGCACTATCGCAGAATATCAAAAAACCTCCTTCACTCTCTATTTTAATGAACAACAATACAAATTTAAATGTGCATCACTTTTCTACTAACATGACTAATGTGACTTAAATTATATGTTGAAAATACTTGTTATTAACTATGTTATCAATGGTTAAGAAATCCATAAAATTATTAATCAACCTCCACTATGTGTCTCAAACAATCACAGCAAAAAGAAACCGAATTATGAATATGATTGATAAGTAAACATTGATTACATAATATGTGGCATACTTGATTACATGATGTATAAAACCTTCTTGTGGTCTAAAACCGCCATGTACTTGATTGAATTGATACATTTAATCAAGTTCAGACTTCAAAAAAAAAGGAACAAAAGGGAGGGGGAGGCAAAGTACAAGTATACCTGTCAAAATAAAACTAAGTGCAAGTCAGTAGAGATATATTAAGTCTATGCCCTGGTTTTCCTTTTGAAACGTTTGTACCATTGTTCCACACCTATGTATCAATGACCTGGTATGAATATCAATAAACATATGCTTTACTAAAAAATAATTCTAAATCAGCTTAGATAAACATATGTTCATATTTCTTTTCCTTTGAAATGTTTGACAATAGTTTTACACCCATCTATGAACGAGTAGAAATAATCATATGTCCTACCATGTAGGATTTAAAATAAAAATCTTTTTTTTTCCATCAAGTTCGATAACGTATCACTTTAATCTGCCCGGAGAGACACATTCCAACAAGCAGATCACCATTCTCATCAATATCTAAAGGTATGGGAAAGTCTAATCCACAATTATCCACACATTTTAGATACAAGCCATTTTGATCAAGAAGATGCAAACAGTTGTTCATATAATCAGTTACAATAATATTGCAGAGAGAATCTGTGATGATTTGGTCAGGACTAAATAATGTCTTATTTAATATCATTTGTGTTTGGAACTCAAATCTAAATTTTCCCCATTTGTCGACTACAATGACTGCCTTGTCATTTGTGTCAGAAACACAGATGTCTTCATTTTTATTTTCTGCAACAAAGTGTGCGAATTTTCCAAAGTGAAACAAAGGTTTCTCTTCATTTGCCTGAATTTCTTGTGTTATTATTAATTCCCTTCTCATCCTTGACATTTCACATCTGATAACTTTAACTTCCTTTGAAGACATATTAGAAACACAAACCAGAAGTCCCCCAGTACTTGCTGCACAGAATGGAGAATTAATGAATTACCCCCACAAAGCAAGCCATGATTCTTTTGTATACAAATGTGTTCACATCGCATGAGATACTTACCGTAGGTTCTCCCAATTTTCACGTGCTTATTAAATCGACTGACAATAAATGTATTGACGTTTTGTACCTGTACTAGATAACTTGCTGATGATGCCCTCTTTTAAAGTCGTTATCATGCTTATTAAGTGATAGCTCTAGATATGAGTGAATAAACATCACAGTGTCTGAAAACACTTAAACACCCAATTTTATGTTAACGCCCCCTAAATCTACCTGATTCAAGATCAATAATTTACCGCCTGTCAATCATTAAAAAAACAATAGCATAACATTGGTTACTGGACTTCGAAATCGCCGCAAGGAATGCAGTTCAAGGAAACTTTCCCAGGACATCTATCAAGGGATGCTTTTTCCATTACACCCAGTGCATATGGAAAGTCCAATCCTGTGGATTGACAACACAATTCCGGCAGGATGAAGACTTTCATCGACTGGAAAGAAGAGCGGCCGTTCTTCCTTTGGTTCCAGAGCAGCAAGTGGAAGACGTGTGGTTTGAGGCACTACAGGACAACGAAGACGATAATCAAGTTGTTGGACGTTTTAAGGACTATGTGACCGAGACTTGGGTTGAAGGCCATCTGATAAATTGGAACCACTATGACAACGAAGGGCCACGAACAACAAATGCAGTGGAAGGATGGCATCACAAGTTCAACAGGATGTGTCGGCGCCCCCATCCAAATTTGTTCATGTTTGTACAATTAATTCAGAAGGAGCAGGCAGCCAATGAAGCCAAAATGATTCAGCTTGCTGCTGGTGGTGTTATCCGTCCAAAGAAGAGAAAGTATCGACAATTAGATCGTCGCATCCAGGACCTAAAGGCCAGATTAGGCCAAGGAGATATCCAGATAATGGACTACGCAGATGCTGCCTCTCATCTACTGCATTTGGAGTGATGTGTCTTTGAGTGTTTATGACTGTGTTTATGACTGAGTAGTACCATACATGTTGATAATTATGCTATATTTGCCATACATATATTAGTTACTTGAATATTATGATAATGACTGTTATGTTATTTTCATATTTTATATGACCATTATTTATCAAAATGATTAAAAGTATATTTATGTAAGAATGGTAACTTTTGCATGCCTGTTAATGTAACTTTATTTAAAGTGTCAGTGTGATATTTTGTGTTTTTTTTCTTTTGTGATATGAAAAAGAAGAAGGATTAAAAATAAATACCTTAAAAATAAAACATGCTTCTTTATGTATTAATTTAACTGAAAAACAATGAATTATTTAAAAGAAAAACATGTAATTACAAATTAGAATTAGAATTGAAAAAAAATATGAGAATTATTTTTTTAAAACACACACACAAAACCTTATGGAATGCCATATACGACAGCCAACTGCTTACTGCCAACTGCTGACTGCTTACTGCCAACTGTCAGCTAAAATTTATTCAAATATGTGTGGCAGTTAGCAGTAAGCAGCTGACAGTTGGCAGTAAGCAGTCAGCAGTTGGCAGTAAGCATTTGGCTATCGTATATGGCATTCCATAAAAACTTGTAATTACAAATTAAAATAAAAAAAATGTAAAAAAAAATTTAAAAAAATTAATTATTCAAAATTAGAAAAGACATTTTAATATTTAATGCATCACTTTAAAATATTACCTAGAAACAAATATAATAAATGAAGAATTTAAATAATTCATAGTACTGGTCATTCTAAAACAGACTATAGGACACCTGTAATTAATTTCTTTTGTTCTCTCCCTGCCCTTACCTGTACACTTCCCACTTAACCAAAACCAGTCACCTGTATCAATTTCAGAATTTTGGCTAAGTGGGAAGACACCCAATTACCTGGTCACGCGTCAAACGCTTTCATGTACCCGTACTCCAAAATGTCTGAATTTTATTTCAAAAATAATTGGAAGTAGATTGTTAAAACATTGACATAATAAAATATTTCTTTTCTATCTTCACTGCTGTTTGTTACTTGAAAGCGTTATATCGTCCACGTTATCTGTAGAAAAAAGACCGCGTCCACAAAAACCGGCTCTATTTGCCGTAATTGGAAGCCCGACGATTTAAATCATTTTTTAAGAAATGGGATATAAGAAAAATATTCAGGACTAATAAACGGCATAGCATAGTTTTTAAAAGATGTTTTATTTTGTACTATGGCTACAATCCGCACGATGTTGTACAGAAATTGATGTCAGAATTAATGCTGGAATTTCCTCTAGCGTCTGTGTATATACGCAATGATTATGTGAAGATAATTAATAGTGATCGATTCTGAAAAGAAATCTTTCTAACAATAAAATTTTGTTTACACACGAAGAATAAATAAATATAGAATATTTTGGACAACATTGTTGGCCAGGGGAAGACATTCCGATCGCGGTAAATGCATGTTCACATGCACGACGGATAGATGGATTAATAATCTTTTTTTCATTTCAATATTCAGACTTTTCTTATCAAGCGATTTCTTTTATTGAAGATTAAAAAAGATAAATATTATTGTTTTGTAGTTTTTACTGTTTTGTGGCTGGTTTTAAGTGAAACTACGTAAAATAATTATTTTAGATATGAAAGACTTTATTTGCAAACTTAACGCTTTCGAATTCATCGTAATCATGGTAATGTTTTGAAGGAAATAAAATGAGATACATGTATATCGTTCTAGAAAATGTTTTCCTTACATAAAAGAAAAAAAGTCACGACGTAATGTTGAACCTGATTACCAAACATAGACTTCCTGTGTAATGCTACGTATACACAGATTTTTGACATCTGGGGTATTGGGGGTCTCCAGGTAAATAACACCACTGTTACTTCGACCACTCCCCCTCCTCAGGTAACCGTACGGTAAAAAAATTGGGTCTTTAAATACAGTACCTAAGGATAAGATGTACCAGTGTCGTAATCATTTCAACTCAGATTAAAATGTCAGCTGAATTTGAAACATGGAAAAAACATAAAATAAAGATTGATTGATTGCATGTTGTTTGACGTCCCTCTCGAGAATTTATCACTCATATGGAGACGCCATTTCCTATTGGAGAGCTACAAATTTTGTCCTATACTTGGCACTCAGGGTAATTGAACAGGGGGGATCTTTTTCGTGCCAGCACCTACTGTGACACGAGACCTCGATTTATACGGTCATCCAAAGGTCCAGCCTCCACGTTGGTGCGTAACAACGTCACATCAAGATAGGGCTTTTCACCTTGCCACCAAGGTTATCGTCATGGGCGTCGGAAGCAAATTGAAAGGGGGGGTATTGAAAAGCTGGACTAAATTAACAAGAAAAGGTAAATCCCATTTTCAAAGCCTAGTATGCAATGTCTATTTTTACAAAAAAAAAAGGGAAAATTGGGAGGGGCAAGCCCTTTCCATAATCCCTCCGGTTCCGACGCCTATGGTCGTCAAGGCATTATCATTGAGACCGTATTTTTAAATCGAAAATTCTTGGTATCCATTGAGCAGGGGAAATTGATGGCTTTAGAATGTTGTACAGCTTATGTTAACCATTAAGTCTACCGTCGGAAGGATAATAATCCATTGAGAAAGATAAATGCATTAGTGAACTCAATTCACAGGTGAATCAAGGATGTAAGTTATGTGCAAGGGTGATGATGAGGATTTTTATTTTTATCGACATATTGATTTCAAAAATTCATAAATTATAATTTAATGTCACACAAGATTTTGGTAACCTGATTAAAGATGAATTAAAATGTTTGACAATAATATTGAAAAACATATTCGGAATAATAGCTTCAATTTAATTGAAAATTTACTATCATAATGGGTTTCTTTTTCCTTTCAGTATAATGCAAGTTTGCCTATTGGTGGAGCATTCTTTACATCATGGGAAATACAGGGTTCGATTCTCGTTCCAGCGCCGCATCAAGCCAAAGACGTAAAATAGCAATTTGTCTTCCTTTGCCAAGCACCCGGCACTTGAGGAAAAGGTCGCAGATCTTTGGAATGAGACCTTAAAAATCAAGGTTTTGAGTCACTGTAGGTGTTGACACGATCAAGATTTTTTCTCCTTAATAAAGATCCTGAGTGCGGAGTTCATGTCTAAATATGAAGTCCTTTATCGGTATACATTGTGACGTCTGAGCGGAAAATCCTCACAAGGGACGTAAATCAACCACAAACATTTTATAAATCAATCAAATTAAAATATCACAATACAAAATGTACATTTTAAAGATAAAAATCTGAATAACAGCAACATGTAAAATTATAAGCATTTGCTGTAATGAGAAATCGCTAGTACATATACACTGCACAGTATTACGAACACTTTTATCTGCCCGGCTCAGCATTCTCTACAATATTGGACATTCTATATGTAGCTCAAGAAATGTAACGTTATGAAAGATTCATACATTAATTCTTCTTTAATCTGGAAAAAAAAAATTGAAAGTGGGGTTGGGGTGGAATTAATTAATGGAGGAGAAAGGGGGGGGGGCAAACAACAAGAAAGGTAAAACCCAATTTTCAATGCCTATATTTTATACATGTACATGTATTTGCAAAACAAAGGGGAGAGGGGCTAACGCCAGAGGTTTCGACGCCTATGGGAAGCATGTTCAGATGCGATTGAAACCACTTCCTGAAGAACTACGTACGATAGTATTGTTCTCCCGCCTACCCCTAAGTCAATTCTTAAAAGATAACATATTCGAATGATTTTGGAAATTTTTATAGATATTTATATGAATTTCCATAAAATGTTACTTATTTGGGACACCAAAGAGAGATAACTCTATAATTTTGGTAAAACTTGTGTTTTTCACTATAGAAATCAACGGAAAACGGAAAATATTTTTAAAAAATATTCACCCCCCCCCCCCGGGAAACAAAAATTCCTATTTACAGGTAATATGGACTGTCATTTTACAAATTTATGCCAAAGCTTTTTGTATTTTACGGGGGGAAGGGGGGACATATGTTTATAGACTAAAAAACAAAAAAAAAGATGAATTTTCACCAATTTTAAAGCTATTTACAACTAAATAATTGTATTTTATTAATTTATATATGTTTTATTTAATTGAGTAAAAAATAAAAAAAGATATGAAATACATTTTATGATATTAAAGACTATTTCATAATATGGTGATTCTTGAAAGTTCGATTTCACTAGAAAATATCGTCAACCTCTCTTTTTTCAAGAGCTGGAATTAATGATAATTACTATCTACTAAAATGATTAATCAATTACCATAGAACTGTTCTTTATATTTAACTAAGATTTAATGGTCAAATTGCCATTAAAATTGAATTTAATGGGTGCAAAATGTAGGCTGGAATCAGGAGTTAGAGTTTGTAGTTCCTTATAACGTTACAATGGATTGTGAGCACGCAATGGTGAACGAAATTTTATATGAACGATTTGTAATTTTACAGAATCATATAATTCTCATATCTGTACAAAATTTCTTGAGATAAGATTTTCTGACTGTGTAAATATCAAGACATTGGGAAAAAAGATAAAACATAAAACTGACTTTACAATATTCAAAATATACATTTAATGATTTCATTTATTTATATTTAGATATATATATACTGAAAAGAATAAGAACATAATATGGGAAAATGTTTTTACTATGTGGCCGAAAATTATGAAAATTGGTCAGATGTGTATTTTGGTTACTTTGCACTAAAATCGCTAGACAAAACTACTCAACCATGAAATGTATGGCGTCAGGTAAAGGAAATGATAAAATGTCGAAAACACGTGCATGTTGAAGATGATAATTTTGTGATAAAATTATGTAGTGTCATACGATGCATTAGAGTTATAGACATCGTTTGTGCATATTTGCAGTCAGTATAATTTTTTTGCAATCGTGGTGTGGCTGACGGAATCTAGTGTGGGTTTAGTAATTGAATTCAATATTGCATAAGTGAATAAAAAGGCAAAAACATGCCGCTGTAGATTGTTTTCAACTTTTCAACCAAATATGTTTTTTTTTTGTTGTCAGAGAGTTAACATAAAATGTTTTCAACCAACCATGACGGTGACGTTGGCGCGTAACAACGTCACAACTAGATAGTGCTTTTCATCATGCCACCTCGGTTATTGTCAAGGCATTTTCACTGAGACTGATATTTATACCGCAGACAATCATACTCATTTTCTTCACCCTAAATTGGCAGAAACTCTCTGCTCTAATTTGGGCTGCGTGCTTGGCCACTTTTTTTACTCTCAAACGCCAGGTACGCGTCGTTTGCGTGATTTTTTTTAGCATGTTTACACTGGAAAAATTTAGCCAGTGTTTGTCGAGACTTTTACAAACATCCACGTGTACCAGACCTGCTACGTTCTATATATTCTATCCTTAATCAAAAATTTGTATTCGATTGGGCGGGGGGGGGGGGGGGGGGGGGTGTCGACATATTGATATCAATATCTCAGGAATTACCACTCAAAATCACACAAAATTTTGGTAACTTGTTGATTAAAGATGAATTAAAATGTATGATAACAATGCTGGAAAACATATTTGAAATATTTGTTTTAATTTAACTCAAAAGTTTATTATGCGTTTCTTAATCCTTTCAGTATACATGTATTTGTCAATATGTCTTGTAAACATGTACGTTTTTTAAATGACCAATTCCTTTCGGAAAAATGATAAACTGAGCAAGAAATGAGCTCAGAGCACTTCAGATGATATTAGTTCTAGATGTGTCTTCTCTTCATAATCCAATTGTTGATATATTTACTTATATTAGCTAACAATTATATTTTAATAAAGCAATAATTTGTAGATGAATTATAACACAAGACTGATATCACTGCAGTCCTTAATCTACTACTATTGTACACGTGTGTCTTTCTGTCTGTCTTTCCGATTACTATAAATACAGTACATATGACAATGTATGTATGACATGTATCGCTTGAGAATATAATGATTTTTATAATTTAAGATGATGGCGAAGGAGCTACCTGGGATACATGGAAACAAATAACTAAATATTTGATAAGATCAGAAATGAAGGTCAGGAGAGATAAATGACGGACCAAATGGAAAAAGGAGACATTGGATAGGTTATCTTTGTTTGTTTTAAAATTGCTTAAGTTGTTTGAAAACTTATTAAAACAAAGAAAACGATGTCTAGCTCTGTGATTCTCTTAACCATTTCTTGAATATTTTTTTTTGTCTTTCATTTCTTGATATACCTGCAGCTCCTTGGACCAATTAAAACAAGCGAAGCTGAATATCCTAAAATGAGTTCTCATCAATGCAAATGTGTTACTTTATGAATTGTACTTTATACTTTGTACAGTATAGATTACTAAAATTTTTGTTGTGAATGGAAAGATTAAAGACAATTTTTCTACATGAATAACGTTGTATTTAAATAATAAACGATTAGTCCAAGTCATTATTGACAAGAGATTTTTTTAAAGTTATCAACATTCATACGTTTTTAATGAATCATTTGCAAAATGCATAGAAAATTATTAATTTAAAGTTTTTTTCAGGGATGGGGTGGGGACTTCAAGCCCACAAAATAAATCTATCCATTTATCAAGTATAATTTCACTATGCTACAAGCCTACAACAAATGGAATGTTTAAATTGATCTTTTGATGAGTATTTTTAAAAAAACACAAAGGAAATATTTTGTGCCACTTGATAAAATAAAAAATTGAATTTAATTTTACATTTTTAATCGTACATAATTATAAATCTATATGTATAGTACATTGTACCGATGTAGCCCCGGTGGTTAAACTCTTGTTTTCTGCTTCAGAAGGTGCATTTTTTTAAAAGTACATGCACTTCATAAATACGAGAATCACATTCCTAATACTGTGGATCGTCAATATTCGTTGAGCACCAATTATTGAGGATTTCGTTGTTAAGCTGATCCACGAATTCTAATGTTCAATGAGACAAGAAATATGTTATATATTTGTATATGCAATGCTTTTGTCCATAAAATTAAGTATCATCGAAAAGGTCTTTTTTTACAAAATCCACAAAAATTGATGCCTGTGAAAATTGATAAGGAAATTCTTCTAGCGTTGATACCCTTTTGAACAAATGGTATTAAAAGAAAGGATAATTATGTACATAAGGCTGATACTTTGATAGGGTCTCATATCTTAGAACTTATTCGTTTGAAGAAGTACATGTATGAAATGCCGCGTAGATACCATTTATATACAACAGTCAACTAAATATAAAATTTTATAAAACTAAACACTGTAAAATCAACACTGTAGCATCAAAGTGGAGGCTAGAGACCGGTGTTGCAACCACTATTGAAATAACGACCACTATTGAAATAATTATATCAATAGTGGTTGAAAGTGCATTTCAATAGCAAACACAGTTTGTAACCACTATTGAAATAACGACCACTATTGAAATAATTATATCAATAGTGGTTGAGAGTGCATTTCAATAGCAAACATAGTTAGTAACCACTATTGAAATACGACCACTATTGAAATAATTATATCAATAGTGGTTAAGAGTGCATTTCATTAACAAACATAATTAGTAACCACTATTGAAATACGACCAAAATTAAAAAAAATATTTCATTGGTGTCTGAGAGTGCATTTCAATATAATAACCATAGATTTTAACCACTTTTGAAATACCAGCACCATTGAAATAATCATTTAATAGTTGGGGACCAGGAATTCCAACAATCTATTGGAATTTCCATGGGTACAAATTATTAGCAGACTTATTTTTATATTCATATGAAGCAGAATTTATGCAAAATCTTATGCGTGAAAAGAAGAAAACACTTGCTGTGGCCTTCAACTCGACAATTAGATATATCGACGACGTACATGTGTATTGTCAATTAATAATGATAATTTCCATTCCTACGTCGACACGATATATCCTGGTGAGCTTGAGATAAAAGATACCACAGAGTCCGACACTTCTGCTTTATACTTGGATATTTTACTTGAAAAAGACACTAATGGTAATCTAACAACCAAGCTATATGATAAACGTGATGACTTTAAGTTTTCTATCGTCAACTTCCCTTACTTATGCAGCAATATACCTTCATCACCTGCATACGGAGTATATATATCTCAGTTGATTCGATACGCAAGAGCATGCTCTACGTATGAACAATTTCTTAAACGAGGTAAATTATTGACAAGCAAGTTGATGAAACAAGAATATTAACAGTCTCGTTTAAAGTCATCATTTCGTAAATTCTATGGTCGATACAATGACCTTGTCAGCAAATACAATTTATCATTGAATGAAATGCTGACTGACGTTTTTCATACCAACTGTTAGTCCATTATTTATACACTGAGTTGACGACAAATTTTTTCCGTTATTTCCCGATCATGACAAGGAGCACACGGCGGGTGTGACCGGTCGGCAGGGGATGCTCACTCCTCCATGGCACCTGATCCCACCTCTGATGTTTTGGAGGTCCGTGTTTCCTCTGCTCTTATTTTGTATATTGTTTAATTTCGTTGAGATTGAATACTGTTCGTTATTTCCATATCCTTCTTGGGAAGAGTGTATTTCAATATGATTACCATAGGTTTCAACCACTATTGAAATACGACCAGTATTGAAAGAAAAGTTTCGTCGTGTAATTTTTAATTTTTTATCCAAAATTTCATAAAAATTGGATTTGGAGTGAAAAGTATATAGATTGATAATTAAAATGTATAAATTGATGAGGATGGTTTTAGTGAGGCAGAATTTTGAAAATCACAGAAGGTTAACAATTTCTTTATATTCTAGAAATTTATTATTTGCATCATTTTCAAGGAAATTAGACCAAAAAATATATACCAATCCAGGCATCCATATTTTGTTATAACATCAGTCCTTAAATGAAGATTTAGATAGTTATTGAAATTATAATTTCAAAAGTGATTTAAATAATTATTTTGATAGTCGCAGATAATACTTCAAAACTAAAACCATAATTTAATCCATATTGAAATCTTTATTTCAAAGGTGAATATTATTTCAATAGCGGTTGTGACCTATTGTTATAGAAATGAATCTCACCCACTAATGATATAAGGATTTCGATAGTGGTCGTATTTCAATAGTGGTTACAAATTATGTTTGCTATTGAAATGCATTCTCAACCACTATTGATATAATTATTTCAATAGTGGTCGTATTTCAATAATGGTTACTAACTGTGTTTGCTATTGAAATGCATTCTCAACCACTATTGATATAATTATTTCAATAGTGGTCGTATTTCAATAATGGTTACTAACTGTGTTTGCTATTGAAATGCATTCTCAACCACTATTGATATAATTATTTCAATAGTGGTTGCAACAGACCGGTTATTCGGATGAGATTATCTAAACAGACACCTTAAGTGCCGAATATAGGTCAAAATTTGCGGCTCACAACCGGCAAGTGGTGGCATCTCAATATGAGTTAACAAGAAACAAACAAACAAAACAAAATAAAGTGGACATGCTGTGGATGGACCTTTACGTTGACATTTTTCAATCCGAAGGAATGAACAAGAGATAGAACTCAACTCTGCAGAAATCTCAATCAACATAAATAAATGTTTTCAAAGAAATTTTATTAATCGAGTAAAACCTGATTACATGATTATGTTTGTTTGATATCAGAGGTATTTCGATTTTGACCGTCATTTGCGATAACGTATCACTTTAATCTGCCCGGTGAGGTAGACCCCAACCAAAAGATCACCATTCTCGTCAGTATCTAAAGGTATGGGAAAGTCTAATCCACAATTGTCAACACATTTCAAATACGAACCATTTTGGTCTAGAATGTGTAAACAATTGTTCATATAATCAGATACGATAATATTGCATTCAACGTCCGTGGTGATTTGGTCCGGCAAAAACATCTTTTTGTAAATGATAACTGTTCCTTGGGACTTAAATCTGAACTTCCCTGCCTTGTCAACTACAATGACTGCAACAGCATTAGCATCAGAGACACAGACGTCTCCATTTTTATTTTCGGCAACAAAGTGTTCAAATTTTCCGAAATGAAACAAAGGTTTGTCTCTATTAAACTGAATTTCTTGAGTTATTATCAATTCTCCTTTCATCCTCGACATATCACATCTGATAATCTTAACTTCCTTTGATGACTTATTAAAGACACAAACTAGAAGTTCGCCTGTACTAGTTGCACAGAGTCCTTCGGCCAGCCATCCGGGAATTGCTAGTAACGATTTTGACACACCATCTTCCACACTGAAAACGCCCTCTTTACCACAGCTGTAGAGTATTTCATTATCAACCATCGTAATATCACGTGGCCTACCTTGACACATTATTTCCTTTTTTTCATCGGTGGAATCCCCAAGTAAATGTATGTGGTATATCATTGGTTTCGGGTTACATATCCATATACTGGATCCCACATACACAAACCGCAAAATATTACTGATCTTTGTTTGAATCGATTTTATAACTAAAGCTTTGGTTAGCAATCCTGGTCCATCATGGGAGACCGTGTCTTCTGCAGAATTATAATGGAGATCAACCGCGATGTGTCCGAATCCACCATCCTGAACTTCTTGTACCAGACTAATAAACTTCCCTTGGACAAGAATGGGAGATTTGATATTATTTTGAACGTCACAGCAGAGTTGTGGAAAACTTTTTCAGATAACCGGTCATTCGGACCGGCAAGAAAACAAAATAAGCTGGTCCGAAGTGATTTTTGTCAGTCCGAAATAGTAAGTTGCAAAATGAAAAAAAAAATATAATATTTATTCACTTAATAACACATTTTTTTTAATAAATCATGTTAATAATGATACAAAATTCAGTCTCCATTTCCAAGTCCTCTTCCGTTTTCTTTTAATTTTGCATTCATAAATAACAATACTAGATATCACCGCTTTTGGGCAGGCCGCAATGCTCATTCAGCATAGTGAACGTAATTTTAAAAAAAACCCATACATTTTGGAATTATATTAACCGAGAAAATTGGTCTAGAAATTGCAAAAATTCTTTGCATCGATAAAGATATCAACACAATCGGTAAAAAAAAAAACGAAAATCCGGGACAGTTGGTAGTACTAGATTTACTGCTTTCCCCAACTGTGCTTGAATTCCTTCTGTTGAAATTTTTCATATTTTAAATCAGCTCCTCTTTATTTTTTTCTTTGATACGTTTTCTACCTAATTCTGTCCCAGTTGTAAATTTAATAGGTCACGAGAACCATGCTAGTTTCGCTTTCATTTACAGCCTCAATCTCGATTAAAGAAAATGTATTACGCAATCGCATATAAGGTACGATAATTAAGATGGGAAATGCACAGCTGATAAATGGAAAAACAAAAAAACTTTAACCAAAAAAAGGGGCCGGTCATTTGGACCGACACTGATAACATTTTTACCGGTCATGCGAATTTTTTGTCGGTTTTGCCGGCATGACCGACAGTTTTCCACAACTCTGCGTCACAGGAAAAGTGGTCTTTGATAGGGTATGCCTGGTCATCCTTTTTGAAGTTAAATATCATCTTCAAAGTATCCTTTTCATTATCCAAATGAATTATATCACGATATTTCTGAAGCTTCTGTGATGCTTTAGAATAAGCTTCATTCACAGAAACATTCTGGTTTTGAAATTTTGATTGTATAATTTCCTTTTCAACATTCATTCGATTTTGAAAATTAGTAAAGGCTGTGTTAATGTTCTCAAGGATTCTATATTTTGATTCCTCTGCTTTCTTTAACACTACATCAATTTCATTGTTTGCATCTGTGTACTGTTTTTCCATGGACATGCGTTCGTTTAGCAGTTTTGGCATGATAGTTGATTGTAAGATGCCCGCATCTGCTAAAATTTGTTTCTTTTGCCTTTCTATGAATTCCTTCATGTAACCAAAGGTATGTTTCACATGGACTTTAGATGAACAACATTTTAGACAAAGTAGGACGTTGCATTGTCGACAGTAAGTATCAAGTTTGTAACAAGGATGCTTGCTGCAGGATGGAATGTCCATATTAGACTTCTTGTGTCTGTACAGAACTATTGAGTGTTGGACGTGTCTTAATCCATCCACGTGTTGGTTCAAGCATTTTCCACAGAAGTTATCCTGGCAACTTTTGCAAACATACAGAATTCCCTCTGGGCATTGGGAGCATATTTTAAGCCGTTGTATTGTTATCATGATAAAAATTTTTTATTCATTCATTCATTGGTTGCAAATCAGTTTGAAGGGCTGTTATCTGAATTTTAATGCACGTTTTTGTATACTAGCAGCGGATATATGACCAAATCTGTTAAGTAAAGAAACATTCATTAAATACCTGTTAAAACATTTTAAGATTAACACAGAAAAAAGATTTCCAGTACGTGTTAATTAAAAACAAATGACTCTTGATTATGTTTTCAATATGATCTTAAAATTGTGCAGAAATAACGATTGAATTTAAATTCTCAAAGAGATACTTTATTCTAAATGGATATACATGACTGTATAAATAAATAAAGTTACGAATTAAAATTAATTAAAATAAATAAATATTTTTAAACATGATAATGAGTATGTCTTTTATATTTTACATGTAAATAGTCATTACAAGAACAAACAAGATGTGTTTCTGAAACACTGATGCCCCGGTTTATGGCAACTATTTATCATTTGAAGATTAAATTTTTCTTAAATACAAATTCACTGGATGTACAGCTCAACATTTTTATCAGTTTGGAAATCTTCCAATGAAGGGTCTTCTCACAAGGATTACACGTGTATATTATGAGATCACTAGCCCTTAGCGTTCAAAAGTTATGGCCAAGGTGAACTTTTTTTCATAAGTACGAAAATCTCCAAAATCAAAAGATCAAGGTAATTGGTATCCAATGAAAGATCTTGCCACAAGGAATACATATGTAAAGTATGGAAGCCCAAGTCATAAACGTTCAGAAGTTATGGCCAAGGTTAACAAATTTAATAAGAAGATCAAACTCCAAGGTCAAGGTCAAAGGGTCAAAAGTCTTGCTATCAAATGAAAGGTCCTGTCACAAGCAATAAATATGTTAAGTATGAAAGCACAAGTCATAACCCTTTTTTAAGTTCTAGTCAAGGTTTGCTTTTTAAAAGTAGGTCAAACTCCAAGGTCAAGGACAAAGGGTCAAAGTTCTGGGTATCCAATCAAGGGTCTTCTCACAAGAATTACATTTGTGAAGTATGAAAGCACTATCCCTTACCATTAAAAGTTATGGCCAAGGTAAAAAAAAATCATAAGTAAGGAAATATCCAAGGTCAAGGTCAAAAGGTCAAGATTGTTGGTATCCAATGAAAGGTCTTTCCACAAAGAATACATATGTGAAGTATAAATGTCTTGGTATCTACTGTTCAAAAGATATGGCAAAATAAAAGTTTGGGATTTTTCTTTAAAAGTAGGTCAAACGTCTTAAAATAATTCCAAGTTATCCAACACATCTGTACTTTTCACTACGTCCTAAAAGAAGCTGAAAAACGATGCAACAAGAAGTTTATATGAAGTATGACCCTTGTTTAAAGAATAGCAATTTCCCAGCTGTTTGCCTAAGTATCTAGGTTGTTGAACAAATGCCGCTGTACAATCTATAATACGCCCTATATTTTTGTTCTTTTTGAAAGATTTTGGTTCAAATTTGCGCAAGTGAAATCTACTTGGAAACAGTTTTGATATGTGAGGAATTCATTAAATATTAAATCACTGTTTTGCTAATATATTCAAAGAAACATTAAATATCACTAACCGGTGGATCCAATTTGCAATTGGATTGTGGCGTTTATATTCTTTTATCCCAATCTTTTTTGATGGAAGGAATATCGGTGCCTGCTTATGCTATAGTTAATTTTAGGGGTTCAGATTGCATAATATGATACCATAGATTTTTTGCATTCTTTCGAAGAAGTTTTTTCTTGTCTTGTCTGACCCCCTTACAATATATTTATATTCTTGTTTTGCGTCATTTACTTCAATAAATGACATTTTTTTTCACTTCACTACTGTAAGTTAATTTCTTTTAATCCATCAAAAAACCAGCTTAGTTGACTTGGCTCTGGTCTTGCATTAATAACAAAGGAACATAAAGAAACATTATATATCACTAACATAGCAAAATATTACTTACTTGACCTTTAAGAGATTGTTAGAATTAAATTAAATGGGGAAAATTCAGTTACCTTACCGCTTAGAATAATTTGAAGCCATCCAACATACATGAACTTTTCACGGCATCCTTAAAGAAACTGGAAAACGAATGTGTCCAGATTTCTTCCGCGCACGGTTTTTTAGTGGACATTTTTCACTAAATGTTTTCATTTTTTAAGAGTCAGGTGCCTTAATCCGAGATTCCTGTGACTCTAACCCCTGCTTTCTATACTTAAATTATCAAGCTTAGTACAAACTACCGAAAATCAATCAATAACTCATTTAAAAAAATCTTAGGAATTAAACAAGGACCCTTTATAATTATAATGCATCTTTAGAATACTTACAGGCACTTGCTGATTGTTTCTATTTGCTACTGATAATAGAAAATTAGTTTCGTACTTGCATGTATTAGGTAACTTCTCTAAACCGCCTTCCCTCTCTATTAACATGATAAAGTTCACTTGAAAAATGAAAAACGGAAACCAATAGAGTATGAACGGGTATGATAAGATTTAGCAGTTTGCGTCGTATTTCAACATAGTTGAGAATTTCATCTGAATTCTAAACACCAAAAAAACAAGTACACTATGCATGACTGATTTTTAATTTTAAACGCAAAATAAGTAATTACTTCAACAATAGTTTGCTATTTATTTCCTATGGTCGCTTTGAAAAGGATTTTTGGGTTTCTCTGGCGGCAAATCGGAGAAGCGATTTTTAGAGTGTCAATGGGAGTTTTATTCTTTAATCCTAAAGATGAAACAACTTATTCTGAAATCAATGATAAGGATGGTACACAGATCTCACTGAAAATAAGTTGTGTACGTTCATTAGAAATTTTATTCTATGGTGTTAAAATGCTTCTACGACAAAACTTCAGCAATATAACTCAGGCTGATTTTAACCGTTTTGATTTTTCTAAAAAAATTCACCTGGCTTGGTATATTTTCTAAAGTTTGTATTACACTTTTAGCACCAAGGTAGCATATTCTGAATTTTTTTTTCATCTGGAAACCTTAACTGGGTGTGTTTTGTCCATATTTGTAATTTTATTGAAGTATTACTAATATTTTCGAAGTCTATTTCATTTTCCAGTTCTTATATAGGAGAAAAAATTCTAAGAATTACCAACTTTTCTAAACTTGTGACATGATATTAAGTCTCCTCCAAAGAAATAATGTGTTAGTTTCATCTGTCCTTAATAGTTAAAACATTTCTCTGTACATATTGTCATGGAACCAACTCACAGTTATTGTACTATAGCCTAATTTCAAGAAACCGCCTTCACTCCCCATTTAATGAACAACAGAAAACTTATAGATATGTATCACTTTGCTAATGATGTGACTTTAATTTTTGAAAATACTTGTTATTAATTATGTTATTATTGGTAAAGATATCCATAAAATTATCAATTAACCTCTATTACATACTATCTGTCTAAAACAATCACAGCAAAATAAATCAGAATTAATTATCAGAATCAGAATAAATTATGAATATGATAGATAAGTAAAATTGATTACATAATATGTAGCATAATTAATTATATAATTTATGAAACCTTCTTGTGGTCTGAAACCGCCATGTATTTAATTAAATTTTACTTTTAATCAAGTTCAGAAACCAAGAAAAATGAAGTCAAGGAGAGGGGGAAGGGGGGGGGGGAGTTTAGTTATACCTGTCAAAATAAAAGTAAGTGTAAGTCAGCAGAGATAAGCCTATGTCCTGTTTTTCCTTTGAAACATCTGTACTATAGTACCGTATCTATCTGTGAGCTGATATGAATATTAATCAACATATGTGTTACAAAAAAGTAATTCTAAGTCAGCATAGATAAACATATGGCCTCCTTTTCCTTTTGAAACGTTTGTATAATAGTTCCACACATATCTATGAACTTATGCAAATAATCATTTGCCCTTCCCTATACAATTTATAATAATAATGTTTTTGGTCCATCAAATTCGATATCGTATCACTTTAATCTGCCCGGTGAGGTAGTTCCCAACAACCAGATCACCTTCCTCGTCAATATCGATAGGTATGGGAAAGTCTAATCCACAATTGTCCACACATTTTAGATATAAACCATTTTGATCAAGAATATGCAAACAGTTGTTCATATAATCAGTTACAATAATATTACAAAGAGAGTCCGTGATGATTTGATCAGGTCTAAATAATATTTTATCAAACATAACTTCTCCTTGGTACTTGAATCTTAATTTTCCAAATTTGTCGACGACGATGACTGCATCAGCATTTGTGTCAGAGACACAAATGTCTTCATTTTTGTTTTCAGCTATGAAGAGTTCGTATTCTCCGAATTGAAATAAAGGTTGTTCTCCATTGAATTGAATTTCTTGAGTTATCTTTAATTTTGATTTGTCCCTCGATGCATCACATCTGATAATTTTAATTTCTTGTGACCAAGAATTGGAGACACAAACAAGAAGCTCATTTTTATTTGTTGCACACAATCCTTCGGCTAGCCATTCAGGAATTGAAAGACACAGTTTCGACTCTCCAATTTCCACAATGAAAACCCCTTCACTTCCACAGCTATAGCATATTTCGTTATTGAATACCGTAATGTCATGTGGTCTTTTTGGACATGCTATTTGAATATCTGGATTTTCAGACGAACGTCTATTAATATCTGCATAAGAAATCACAGAATTATGATTACATATCCATATACCTGATTTGTAATACACAAAGCGCAAAATGTTTCTTTCTTTGGTTTGAATTGTTTTTATCACGAAAGCTTTTTTCAGCAATCCACTACCACCAGGGATGGACACGTCTTCTGTAGAACTATATTGGAGGTCAACCACAAGGCTTCCGAACCCACCAGATTGGACCTCTTGTACCACATTCAAGGATTTGCCTTGCACAACAATAGGGACATCAAGATCATTATGAACTTTATCCAAATGGGGTCCATAAGTTGAGAAACATGTTTCATCATGCGCTTTGTATCTTAGTATCTTTTGTAAACCATTATCTTCTTCCAGCTGAACAATTGAATGGTTTCTGTGAAGCACTTGCAATGCTTTGGAGTGAGCATCGTTTACGTGAACGGCCTTGTTCCTGAATATAGATAACACATTTTCCTTCTTTTTATTAGTTCTTTTCTGCAGATCTGTAAACACTTCATTTATATCTTCTAGAATGAAGCATTTTGTTTCCTCCATGTTCTTCAATGCATCATCAAATTCATTTTCTGCCTCTGTCAACTCCTTTTCTAGAGAAATGCTTTTGTTTAGCAGGTTTGGAATAATAACCGACTGTAAGTTGTTTGACTCGAATAAGATTTCTTCTTTTCTGATATCAATTAACTCTGTCATGTAACCAAATGTGTGATTGGCATGTGTTTTAGAGTAGGTCCAACATTTCAGACAAAGAGGAACAAGACATCGTCGACAGAAAGTATCAAGTTTGTAGCAAGGATGTTTGTTGCAGGATGGAATGTCCATTTTAGAGTTCTTGTATCTGTACAGAACTATGGAATGTTGAACATGTTTTAATCGTTCTACATGTTCGTGAACACATTTTTCACAAAAACTGTCCTGACAATTTTTGCAGATATAACGAATCCCTTCTGAACATCGGAAACATGTTTTAAGCCATTGCATTTCTGTCATGGTGAAATCAAATTTTGTGTTACAAAACATTATGGTTGAGCTTAAAGAGAATATGTCATTTTTTTCCTTAACACTACTTGCCTGGTCACATCTATAACAAAATTACAAATGCATTAGGAAAAAAATGTTCATGTACATGCATATTTTAATATGTTGAATGATGAGAACTGGAAAACAAACATCGTCTTAACTTAAAAGCGCTGTAAAAATGGTTTACAATTACAGGATATTCTTGAAACAAGATTGTCTGGGACCAAACAAATACACATGTAACTCTAAATCCAAATTTAAAAAAAACAATAATGCATTTTATTCTCGGGTAAATATTTATATAAAAGCTTAATTTAAATAAGACAAGTGTCAATTTCAAATACACAGATAAACAGATTTTTATGATTAAGAAAATTTAATAAATGACAACTCAAATAAAATTCAAAGACCATGCATCTTTACTACACTCTTAATATCTGGTACTTCTATCAATCACTGCACAGTAAGTATACTTTTTGTTCAAGGGGGAAATATCAGTGATGCATAATTCTAAAAATGGTTTTTTATTAAAACCTTTTGTAATCCGAAAACAAGGCTAAATTAATTTTCCGAATACATGAGCTGATTTTTTTTCTCTTGACTTCTCATTTTTTTTTATCATAAAAGTCCTCTTTTGGCTCCTGGTTTGGGTGTCTTTTAGGGTAATGCAACTATTTATTAATAAAGTTAAAACTCTTGTCATCCCTGGCACAAAACGAGTATTAGTTCTATGTAATGGGACATACAGAGGGAGGTAAAAAAAATGTCAATTTCCGAATTTTTTTCCCCATTTTTTGGGTAAATTTTCAATGACTTTACAGCACATTTTTTCAGAAAACATAGAAATAAAGAGCACAGGCTAACCTGTCTACTAAATTTATTCCATACACTGTTATTAAATGCCTCTTGTGTATAAAAATCTCAGATAGACAAGCCTGTGTTCTTTGTTTCCAAAAATGAAAAGTATCTCAAATTTAAAAAAATTCCATCCGAATAGAGGAAAATTGGAAAAATGTCCCAATTTTAGCACTTTCCTGTGCCCTTAATACGAGCTCTGAATCAAAATTAGTTCTGGTTTAAAAGCATCATTTTAAGTTACCAAATACTAACTATCACAATTTAACTGTGCTTTGACTTTTACATCAAATAATTGGCCATGTTCGACCAATTTACAACACCTTTTCATTTTAATGACACTTGACATGTTTGTTATATTCAAAAGCAGAATAACATTGGATGATAAAAAAGATTGTCCCTTTAATATTTGTCTTTGTTACTCTATTACTATTAGCAAATTTGCGTTTTATATCACATCAAATAATTATACATGTACACGTTTCGGCCAAAAAATCACTGATTTAAACATGTTCAATTCAACCGTGAATGCAAAGTATAGTCTGTTATTTCTTATTCTAAACCTTCAAATTTATTCATGCATTACCTTTCAGATATATAAATTGTTCCAGTCTAAAGCATTGTGTATTTAAAGGAAATAAGCTTAGTGTTTTGGATTATACGTCGTTGTAAAAAATATTTATGGGAGGTAAATTTTCTTATCAGTTTTTGGAAGGTGGTGTTTGTTATATACAAATAAAACTGACCAAAATCTGAATTATTTATAGCTGTCCTGAATCTGAATTATTTATTGCTGTCCTGAATATCCTAGATGAAGGAAATAGACTCCATAATTTCTTTCTTAGCAAGTACGATACACAATGACTGGAAAACTTTAAAAAAAAAAAAGGACAGAACTCAGAGTTCATAGAAAGTGGTATCAAGCAACATAATGAATATTAGTTCCGAATGGCTCATTGTCTACTTATAAAAATATATAATGTATTTGTTAGTATCTATGTATTGATCAGGAAAACAAAAACAAACGAAAAGTTTGTGATAAATGCAATCAATTTTTATATTTAACCAATTCCTCATCTAAAAATTTTCAGTCGTTTATATCTCTCTTCCAACCACAAATATTTCACTTAATTGGAAAAAAAATCAAATTACAGCGAATAAACTTACCTTCAAAACCTGAACTATATTTCATCACGTGGTTTTCCTTGAGTATCTTGACCAAGTAAAAAGTTCCTAAAGTTTGCAACGAAGGACAACTCGTGCTTGCTTTGAAAAAAATCATTTATCTTTTTATTGTGAAATCATTTATTTTTTTGTAAGCCAAATCGACAAAGTGCATTAATACTCATTCTGTAACAATAGTCCTTTTTAATAATTATATTTAATTCCTTGATTAGATTTTATATAACAAGAACATGCTTGGATTATTATACTGCTAGTATATTTGCAAACCCCTTTCAATGCATGTATAAGTATGAAAAGTTGAAACGTTTTTCAAATGGGTTTAGGTTTTGTGAAATTCGTTTTAATGCTGATTAGTTGAGTGATGATTCATGCACGTTTGAATTTATTAACTTATTTTTCAAATAGATCTCGAGGATCAGGACCGCTTAAGGTAGAACAGTCTTTTTTGAGTGGGTGACGTTAAACAAGAATGCATAATATAATCCTTGACCCTTGTTGCCTGACGTCACGGCGTCAGGCACTACTAAGGATCAATATTTTCTAGATGCAAAGCTAAGAGGTCACAGTTAGCCAGCAACATTTTGTGCATGCTGATTATCATCGGATTTTGTTACCTGCATTTCAACAAAAACAGTTAGCATAAAATTGACCATATTACTGATACAATACATTGATGTATTTATTTCCTTTAGCTTTTTGCCAGCAGCTATTTATTTCATGTGAGTTCTTATACGGACATGTCTGTTTGACCTTTTTTCTGCATTTCTTTACTACTGGATTGGTCCATTTGTCTTCTAGGTAAGGGGTGACACAATCATTTCGCGCCAAAATGTCACGTGTAAGTTTTTGTGCCCTTTCCTGGACTATTCCATTGAATTGAAATGAAAACTGCATGAATTATATAATGTTTGTTCCTTTTTGTCGGAATCTTGATTGAGCTTTGGTAAAAAAGAAAAAGATATCAGTGATATTGTGAAGTGAGTTATGGTGCATCATTTAAAGTAATAAAAACACGAAAGAAACAAAAACTTCTAAAGAGGATGAACTGGCCAAATATACCTCTGATTCTCCCCCCCCCCCCTTCAGGGGCTTTCCTCCTGCAAAAACAGAATATAGACTTAGGGAAGTGCCCCGTCACATTTTAGGATAGAGGAAGTGGCGTCGGTAGTCCATTAGTTAAGGTGCCGGACTCCAAACCGAAAGGTTGTGAGTTCGAATCCTGGCCGCGACAAGCCGACGTTGTGTCCTTGGGAAAGGCACTTTACACGAATTTCCTCACTCCACCCAAGTGTAAAACGGGTACCTTGCTACAGACAGTGAAAGATATTGTCAGAATGTTAGTGTTCTAGCGCTGATAACGGCAGCTTGCACTGAGAAAGATTCTGGATTGCTAAGGTCTGCAGGGGTAATAATGTATTGTAAAGCGCTTTGAGTAGCGTTTATGCTAGAAAAGCGCTATAAAAAAACAATCATTATTATTATTATTATTACTTTTTTTTCTCATACAGATATTTTTGATGTGGACCCCTCATTCCAGGGAAAAACTTCATGCATCTGTACCTATCGCCATTCGTATATCACCGTCAGGTTTGTTGGGTCAGTTACATTTGTATGCATAACAGGCTTTATTTATCCCATGTGTCCAACAATCGTTGATGCTCTGGCATACCCAAGAAAGTGTTAAACATATTCTGAACGTCAGTCATAACCGTTACGATTCTCAATTTCTTGTAGTTATCAAATTTTCAGCTGCCTTCCTCATAGCATATGCTGTATGCAGTTGAATCTAATTTAGGTTATCTTTACATAGCCACGACTTCCCAGCATAAATCAATTACATTATTTTATTTCCCATATTTACTTCATCCTCTAGCACCATTTTAGACTTGCGGATTGAGGTGTTCATCCTTACGTCGAGGGTTCGAATTCACAGTGGAACATGTACATTTCATTTTTTTTTTTATTTGCGATACAAACAATATAGTTGTTCTTTTTCTATTGCTCTGATGAATAGCACACAACTTAAAATGAATGCGTGATGTTTTGTGCAACATCTTCATAATTTACTCTAGTGAAATAATTTAAATACCGTAAACGTTTATAACTTGTCAAGCTTATAGGTTCTTTGGATATTGATGACATATAGTCAGGCAAGCTTTTTAAAAAGCTGTTACTTGCACTTGTTAACTGTTGCGATACCTAATGACTTTCATCTGTCCCGATAAATACATTCCTACCAGGAGATTCCCATCATCGTCCAAGTCCAAAGGCACCGGTATATCTAATTCACACTCCTTCACACAATTTACATACGATCCGTTCTGATCGAGAATATGCAAACAATTGTTAAAGTAGTCACTTACAATAATATTGCAAAAAGAATCTTTGATGATTTGATCTGGTTTAAATAATGTTTTGTGAATTACTTTCCTTCCTTGGTATTTAAATCGAAATTGTCCTGTTCTGTTGACTACAATGACCGCATCAGCGTTGGTATCTGAAGCACATATATCTCCGTTTTTATTTTCTGCGACAAAAAGTCGTTCATTTCCAAACTGAAATAAAGGGTGATCTTTGTCTTCATGGTATTGTATTTCCTGTGTTAACTTAATGTTTTCAATGTCCAGAGAAGGCTCAAAGCGGACAATCTTGACTTCCTGTAGCTCTGAATTCGACATACAAACCAGAAGTCCGTTTGTTCTAGTTCCACACAAACCTTCCACATTCCAGTTTGGAATAGATAGATACATTTTTGATTTTCCATCTTTCACACGGAAGATTCCTTCTTGCCAACAACTATAGAAAAGTTCATCGCCGCTTACTGTAATGTCCTGAGGCATATCTGGACACATGATTTCCTTACAAAGACTGAGTGATGAATTTCCAGAGACTAATTTTAGTTGGCATATTGTACTCTTGAGAGAACACAACCACAGTGTCGAATCCCAATACACGAAACGCAGAATGTTTTTCTGTCCGGTATTTATTGTTCTTATAAGCACGGCATTGTTCAACAAGTCTGAATTGTGGTAGGAAAACGTTCTCTTTAAAGAGGTTTGGCAAGTTTCTATTGAGAGATTTTCAAATGCATTATTACAAACGTGCTGAACAAGTCGAAGAGATTTACCATTGACAATTATTGGATGATGAAGGCGATTCAGATCTCCAGAATGAAGATCGGGAAGCATTGATTTTGTTTCTTGAATTTGTTTGACGAAATCGAACATTTCTGATAAATTGGAATCGTCTTTTGAATAAATCATAGAGCTCCTATGAACCATCTTCAACGCTGTTTTGAGAGCATCTTCTACATAAACCGTTTGATTTCGAAGCAATGACAATGACTTCTCTTTATTAAGCTGCATTCTTGTCTTCAATTCCGAGAATATTTCCTGTACCTCATTAAGAATATTGTATTCCGATGCCTCTGCGTTCTTTATTGCACCGCCATATTTATTACTTTCCACTTTAAGTTTTGTTCCTATAGAAATAACCTGGGCTTTCAGTGCTGGGATAATAACATTTTCCAGATATTTCATTCCTGATATAATTTCCCGTTGCTTTAAATCTATGAACTCTTTCAAGTAGCCAAATTGGTGATTATCATGTTTTCTACAGGAAATCCAGCATTCAAGACAGAGTGGGACGCGGCATCGTCTGCAGAAAGTATCAAGTTTGTAGCTAGGATGCTTGTCGCAGGACGGGAAGACCATATCCGAGTTCTTGTTTCTGTACAGAACTATCGAGTGCTGAACGTGTCCTAATCTAGACACGTGGTGATGTACACAGTCTTTACAAAGACCCTCGCTGCAGGTTTTGCAGAGGTATAAAATTCCTTCTTCACACTGAGAACATGTTTTAAGCTTCTGTGCTGCAGTCAAGATAGTAGAAAAATCCCTCTCCATTTTAAATGAGTATCAATTCAAGAAACACACATCCGTTTTTTCCTATATTTTTCTTCATATAAACAAAATTAAAAAATGAATAAATAAATAAATCCATGTAAATAATAAAAATAATAAAAAAGAAATAATAGATAAATAAATCAATTTAAAAAATCAATCAATCAAAATATAAATGAAATATATTTAGTTTATTGTCCCCCATGCTTTACTAATATTTAATTCATATAATCACTTTTCCAAAGAAAGAACTATAAATTTATCGCTATAAACTATATATTTGATTTTTTTTCTTTTAACAGAATCCATGTACTAAAATCCCATATCTCTAAATTCTTTACCTGCATGCAGGGTACGAAGAAGATGATCAGAAAATGGACGTATTTACCTTTACCGGTGTTTGTTTATCTGGAATGATACATTGAGCTAGGTCTGACAATTTAAGGAAATAGAAGAGCTGGCCTAAAGAAAGGTTAAAAACATTTACCTCAAGCTAATTTTAACATTCCTTGATCAAGCAGCAACCGAACATTTTGGTCTGCCAGAAAGAGGCTCAAATTTGATCAGGCGAAATGTAACAGATAGATACTTTTTTATTGTATATTTGTGATAATTTTTACAATTTTATTTTTAAACTAGATCTAGAGGTACTGTGAGCAATGAGCTCACTAAATGATATTTTATACATCCCGCCTCCCATATGAATATAATGGGAGTGTCCATGTTGTGCTGTGGGAAACCCCAAATATGTGTCAAATCAAAAATTGAAATAGGACGTGCACAATGGCAATACGAGGGGTGATCCAAAAGTTCGTGGAATTTCTTTCTATTTTATTTATTAATAAGTAAAATTGGTCGAAAGTTACAAAGGAGAATATAGACACTTGTTGAATATTTCAGATAAAACATATTTTAAATATCTGTGATGGTAACTCTATGACAGTTGCCATAGAAATGAAGAGAATAGAAGATGTTTGGAAATGCGGGGGAGATATCAATGCGTTTATTATCATTTTAATTCTTAATACTTGAAATAGGAATAAAACCGCCCTATGTGTTATAGAAAACAAAAATTATGTCATTATTACGATTGCTTGATCTTTTATAACCCTTTTTGTGTAAGTTTTACTGATTTTACTGGATAATTTGTTCATAAGTGCCAAATTAATTGTTCTTCTTTAGGTTTTTATACGACGTCAAATTTCGGTCAAGTCATAAGTTTTGTAAAAATCCCGGGATCACTCTCTCTTCAATTCACATATTAATTACATAGGCTGGGGGGAAATGCATTTAGTTACTGGTTTTCCAGTGGCGAAATTAATTTAAGAAAATAGAACTTCCATGGACGTTGATTAAAGGTGTTGCCGCCATATTGAGACTCTGTTTTAAGTGTTTTCCCCCTTGATGAATTAAAAGCGTTAATGGACTTAGTCGGCTGACGTAGTACTGTTCGTGACATTGCTAGTGAAATTGGAATATCATACGGAAAGATATGGGAATTTTGAAATATGAGTTAAAAATGAAGATAAGTTAATGCGAGAAGATTTCCAGGCTTTTCATGAGACAAAAAGAGAGAAGGGTAGCATTTTGTAGAATTACGTGTTTGAATTGGACATTAGGGTTTGATGCTTCTATAACGTAACGTGACATACCTTACTAGACGTTACGTCGAGGTCTCCCCCGGGTTTCACAACTATTAATTTTCAGAAAGCTCGTGCATGTGACCTTATTGGTGATTGGAACGTGAAGAAATTTTCCAGCATTGTTGCATTATGTGACTCTATTTTATAAAAATGCCTATTGTTTGCTTTTATCAAACACGATAAAATTTAAGAAAGAAATTCCACGAACTTTTGGATCAACCCTCGTACATGTATGTAATAAAGATTCTGTGAAAATTTCATAAAATTTCATTCAGTGGTATGAGAGGAGTTGCGGATAAGAGATGGGTGCCCCAAAGCGTTATACAGACAGACGGACGGACATAACAATTACTATATGTATTACCCTTTTGCTTTTCGAGCGGAGGGTATAATAACTTTGCCCAAGGCATTTGCTCATTGTGAGTGGCCTTGTAATACACTGGGTGGGGCATGCAGATATTATCATATTTCCCTGTTGTTTTATCATGATAGTTTATTAATTCTAGGTACATGTCTCCCTAAATGCGGGGTGGAGTAGGGTGGGGGTTGGGACCACCACCACCCCTGGAGATTGCAGTTATTAAACGATTTTGCCAAACCAAATGACAGAGACCTAACCCACCCACCCACCCCGTCCCCGGATTTGTGTAAAGGATCACTTCATTAAAAATTGGGATCTGACCCATAGGACGGCCCTCGTTTTTCTCTACAAAAAGCTTGTCGATTTCCTGTTCCGATTATTGACATTAGGCTTAATAATATAACAATTTGTTTTTCCTAAATCTTTATTTCAAGTCTTACTAGTAGGAACCCTTTAATTAATTTTCTGAATTTGTTAGATTCTCCCAATTTTATAATTTTTATTTAAGTTTGCCTTTACTTCTCATTGTGCATAATGGTAATGTCTACTGTCTCTGAAATTCTATTCTAGAATGTCTAGGCTATTTTCCCGTAGATATAATAAAGCATGTCATTAATCTGTGCAAATTATATAAGCCTAAATGAAATCCAAGGGAGTACAGTTACTGATAAGTCTAGGCTATTTTTCCGTGGATATAATAAAACATGTCATTTATGTTTGCAAATTATATAAGAACCTTGAAGCACATTGAAAGGCATATAATGAAAATTGTTGCATGAAAAGATTTAATGTTCAAGCTTCATTTAAAGACTTTTTGAATTAAATAATAAATTAAAGAGTTGTCCTTCCTGGCTGAGGGTCGGAGTCCCTTAACGCCGGGACATAATTGCGTTTCGGACAATTTTGGAGGCTTATTGTAAAGTTGTAAATTACAAATTTGAGGTGTAAAATACATATTTGAAAAATTAAGACATATACGGTAGAAAAAAAAGTAAAGATTGATTTTTAAATATCACTTTTTCCGGGGAATTGTTCTCTGCTATAGCCCACTATAGGTCAAATCTTTTGTCATAGTGAATACATTCTTTGTCTAAAAAGCACATGAGCTTGACATTAGTAACCTTTCCTTTCAGAAATAAAAAAAAATCCTCTGAGAAGAAAGGTTAAAAAAGTCAGGCGCCTGTGCTGAAAAGTCATAGAGTCAACGATACCTCCCCCCTCTCCGATATAGGTTGTTCACATTTGAGATATTTGGATAGGAGTTAATGTTTATTTATTTTATTCATTTATTTATTTGTTTATCTTGTCAAAAATTTCTTGGGTAGATTTTTTTTACTGTGGTGGACCAACCCCCCCCCCCTCGGAAAAATTCTGGATCCGTGCCTGCGCCCTACAACAGTACACAACAGACCTCACCCCCATCAAACTTAGAATATATGTACAGATATAATCAGTATGTTTAACTGTTTTGACATTCTTGATATAAATTAATCTGATAGTATTCAAATATATTTTTAAAAAAATCGAGAAATAAGGATATATGCGCCTATGACTTCCTGGAGGGTATTTAGTGTGTCCTTGAAGGGGAAGTCATGTGATGTTCAAAATGGCGGACACCACAACGTAAACAATGTGAAATATTCAGTTTCCATATGTCACATTTAATTGATGATTGCCGACCAAATTTAGGGAGTAAAATATTGGTAATGTTTGTTATTGGTATAAAAATTAATTGTTATTCTTGAATGTATGAAAAGATAATTAAAAACATCAAAATAAATTGAAGATTGATAGCCGAGTCAAGCAACTGCCAAGGTTATCCACTTAACATTCAGCATACTCATGTAACTGTCATTATGTAGTACGTGTATTAATTAAATGTTTAAAAGTATATAATTTATTTATTTTTAATTCAGTGCAACACTTTGGATAATGTCATGTGTTTAATTCTGTAAAGCAAAGAGAAGGGAGTCCAAAATGAGAAAAAACCTGGCTTATCAGGTATAAATTTTACTTGTCAAGTGTATATTTTAAAACATGTTCAGTATGTCAATTCATAAAGTCTATTAACACGCTCAGTTTGTAAATAAATCGAGTACAGTTTGTACTGATGTAATGCAGGGATCGACACTAACTTTAAAACCATAATTGCCAGAAGGGCTAGCAATTTCTTATTTCTACTTCTACGTTATTGTTGACAAACCAATCGTGTAGAATCGTTTGTGTATCATGAATGATCGTTCGTGTAACGTGCGAGATCGTTCGTTTATCAGACTCAATCGTGTGCGTTTTTAATCGTGCGAGATAGTGCGTTTAGAATCGTGTAAATTTCGTTTTGTAAGTTTTTATCAGAATGTTATTTGTAAAATAAGCATTTCCCTTGTTTGTTTTTCTTAATTTATTAATTAAAATCCAAATTAATTGAAAAAGCGCAATTTACATAATAGAATGCAGAACGAACTAATTATCGCCCGTAAACAAGCAATATAGTAAGTCGTACAATATTAAGTTCTCGTCAAATAGTGCGATCAATAATGTGATACACCGTACTTAGATCTCTAACGCCTTTTTGAAAAATCTGATTTTAATTATTATTTACTTCTTATTGTGGTCAAGATAATCTTGAAATCCTTTCATTGAAAATAAATATTCTTTCTTACAAAGAAATAAACATTTCTCAATGCTTACATAACTAGTTAGTTGACAAATATACATGGACACGGCATGATTTTCGGGAGTTTTGATTATCTGTGCTTAGCTCTTGAGCTTATTTGTAATTGATTAATTTTAAATTTCTGCAAATAAAAAAGTTGAATAATCGGCAAGTTTATCAGACATTGAATCAATGGAAACATAAGGATAAAATTTGTAATTATAATTTAAGTCATTTCATGCTGCTGTTTTTGTTCAATCGTATCCTCCTTTCTGTATATCATGATATCCAATTCAATCAAATTATATGACCCACATACATGTACATCGTCTAATAGAACGAACAAAATCCGTTTTCTTTGATCGGAGAATTACCTTAGAAATAATTATTTTTAATCTAAAATATTAAGTCTTGCATATATTTAGTTACAGAAATATCAATTTCCAGTTTTTTTCTTCAAAGTCTATGAAATAATATTGATAATTCTTTGAAATCTTAAACAAGTATTAAGCCATATTTCGTTTTGAAAATATTGATTCCTAAATATTTTGAACTATTTTGAGTGAAAAAACCTGCGTTTGCGTTAATAATCGTGTAAGATCGTGTAACGTGTAGAATCGTGAACGTGAAAGATCATTCGTGTACCAGGTTCGTGCAGAATCGTTCGTGTAACGTGATCGTTCATGTAAGTTGTCAACAATAACGTTCCAGCCACTGTAGCCCTGTTCATGCATTAGTTGTCCAGCAGCCAAAAACTGCTGGCTGAGTCGCAAAGTGACAAGTGGGGTAGGTGAGGGAGGGGTTCCCCCTTCTGCTGGGGCTCCTCGGGTAAATTTTGAAAATATAGATGCCAAATACTGCATGCTGGCTGTATTTTGGATTATACATGTATGTGACTCCAACAAAACTGGAATTTGTGTAATTGTTTAAATTTATCATTTAAATTGCCCCAAATGAGTGTTTAGTTAAGAATTATAGTGGCCCTTCAGAGCAAGTTTAAAGTCATGTTAAGTAGCCCAACCTCAATATTCAGTTGTCTTGGGCCAGCGGGCTACTGTTAGCGTCGAACCCTGATGTAATATGCTCTGTCTTTTTATACCTCATTCCATTAATTGCTTGCAGAAAAATAAATAAATAAATAAAATAAAAATAACAATTATTTTTTCACAGCTTTGTTTAAAGATTGGTGAAATTTAGCTGCTGAAGAAACCTGTTGACATTAATAATTAATTCAAATGTTTAATATTTTCAGGATTTGGACATAATTCCTGCAAATTTGGCAGAAACCGAGGGTGAATCTTTGCAAGAAATAGATCTGACTCACAACAAAATATCATATCCTTTCTTAATCACCAGAATTTCCTTTTCTATGTTACTGATTATAATAAAGTATACGAGCAAAAATGTAATACACATGATTATTTAAATTCTTCAAAGAAAAAGTCTTTGAGAAGATTTTTTTTTTGTTCATGTAGGTTTAAAGACTGTTTACAAAAAAATATACTTTAGAAATTGTAAATCTATAATGCAGTTTGCTGATACATATCAATAAGATTTTGTACGTTGATCTTTCCTTTTTCTTTGACCTCACTTTTCATAAATTTGCATTTAGCGCAGCTTTGAAGAAACTTTTGCAGTTATCTTTACAAACCAACTGATGCATGTTGCTTAGAACTATTCAAAAGGTTCCCAAAAAATGTAGCCTTAATATAAATATATTAGTATTTTTTCCCTTTGCTCAGTTTCAAAGAAACTACTCATTGCTCAGTTGATATTTTATTATGTAAGCATGTTGAATTACTAATACATGTAAATCTCTAGCAGGACATTCATGTCCTTTGGGTATACCTATTTTTGTTTTCATTTAGTTTTTAAATGGATAATAATACATTTGAAATTATAGTTTAAACAATGCTTAGCCTAATAACATTTGTAATGTTTAGTAACATAAGTTCTACATTGTAGGTTTGAATTCAGAATTATTTCGCACAGTATTACACACCACTAAAATAGATTTAAAGATGATAAACATTATACGATAACTTGAGTTTGACTGAAAGGAAAGTTAAGAAGTTTTATTCATGCTCAATTTGTGTTTTTAATTTCCTTAACTTTATTTTTAATGACCTCCGATTTCTGATAGATTTTCCTAGACTAACCTGCTTAGTTCTGGATCACAATAATATTGAGTCACATGTGAAAATTCCAACCTCCACCAATCTTCAAACATTGTGGGTAAATCACAATAAAATTACAAATTTAGGTATGTGATATAAATTATCTCATATTACATGTTTTAAGTCTTTCATATTTTACAGATGTATTCCTAGTGACATAAACTTCCTTTAAATTGGATAGTAATAGTTTTGACCTTGACCTTGGAGTTTGACCTATTTTTCAATTGTTTAACCTTTGCCATAACTTATGAACAATTAGTGCTAGAGGTTTTAGATTTCACATGTAATTTTTTTATGACAAAGCCTTCCTCCAGAGTACCTCTAATTTTAACCTTCTGACCTAGAACTTTTGTCCTTGACCTACATCTAGCAGTTTGACCCACTTTTAGAAAGCTTTAACCTTGGCCATAAATTTGGAATGGTTGGTGCTTAGGCTTTCATGAATCACAATTATAATTCATTGAAACAGTTTTTTTTTGTTGTTTCATCTTTTGACCATGACATTATATAGTTTGACTTGCATTTGAGTTTTAACATTTGAAAAAAGCTGTCATATGTACTAGGGCACAAGTGTCACAAACATATCTGGTCTTTTTATTGCTTTGTTTATATTGTTTGTTTTGTGTAACAGGTTTGTTTATCTCAACGTTGTGCAAGTCTTGTCCAAACCTGAAGTTTTTTTCAATGATGAACAATGAAGCTGCCCCGAGCTACTTCAATGGAGGTACTTACCAGCAATATATGGATTACAGGTAAAATTTACTTGTTCAGTTTTCAATCTCAGGAGGGTTGAGTGGACCACAATAAAGGTTTTTTGTAGTGAATTTTAAAGAAAAATCTTTCACTATTCATGAACACGTAATTTTAATGTATACAAACAATAGTAGTAGTGCCAAGTATGATATCAACAATCCAAAAATGCTAAACTTTCTCAAAGTTTATGGTAACAACCCCCTCCTTTTTTTTGGGGGGGGGGGAGATAGGGTTGGTAACAATGTGGAGGTAAATTTTTCCAAGAAAATTTTTCAGTGTCTGTTTTTTTAATGAATAGCAGGACAACTGTTACTCAGGTGAGCACTGTGGCCCATGAGTCTCTTGTTCAGGATAAGAATTGCTTTAATGAAATAAGAAAATTGTTTGTTAAAATTAAATTAATTATGCTTTTCATGTTGACTGAACATAGGAAATTTAAAGAAATACAAAAATTGACACTTCAGATTAGGAAGAATCTTATGCAAGCCAAACATTTCAAAAGTTGGGACTAATTAATATATTTATATTTTTCACTCTTCAGACATTTTGTCATTGCCCATTTTCCCAAGTTGGAAGTCCTGGATGATAAAAAGATTGAAGAAAATGAAAGATCTGAAGCAAAGAGAATTTATGGACGCAAGGTATAAAATTATTTTTTTTAAGAAAGAATTAATCCGGTATCAGCCAGAGGCAAATTTGGTCAAATGTTACAAATATGGTAAAGGAAATATTTTATCTGAAACATTCATGCATTAAGAAGGTACATGTATATATTAAATAAGTTATACATGTAGTAATATAAAGAAATAAACAACTTTGCTTTTAATTTCTTTTCTCCCATGAAGATAATTATAGAACTACAGTATTTAAAAATATAAAAAGAGAAAGATAATTTGCTGTAACAGTACACAGATGTACTAGTATATGGAAAATCTGAGAAAAATAATTCACACATTTAATTGATAATAGGGTGTAGTCAGTTATCCTTGAGAACTGGCTTTAAAAGAAAATAGATATCTCAATGTATCTGATGTGTCTTAACTTGGCTTTCCAGTTAATACCCTAATATATATGGTGTCCAGTCACTTCGTACACAAACCGAGTCGTACACAAACCAACTCGTATACAAAAAGTTAACTCTACACAAAAACCAGAAGTCAACTCGTACACAACATTTAAATATTACATTCGTGATGTTTAATTTTATACAAATAATGTTTGATAACATGAAGTGTTACTTTTCTTTAAGTTTTTTCCCTAAATATTTAAATAATTCAATTTCCCTGATAAGAACATCAAAGACATCAAAGAAGTATTGTTAAACCAACACACGCGCGGTGGTTTCTTGAATCTGTGACAAACACTAATTTAGTAATTACGAGATGCTCATGATTCAGTATCCTTTAATTATGAGATACTAGATGTATCGAAAACGTCTCCAAGTTTCTTCATTCCTTATACTTCACCATGGTTAGAGAGATTTGTCTTTCCTGCAGCAAGACAAGTTTCTAAAACTTTTTTTATTTAAATAAGTTTTGATATATAAGTGTAAGAAAAATGTGTTTTACAGTATACCATTAAATTCTTACCATGATGTATTTAGATCGCATTTACTATCTACACTATATATCTATTTAACATAATAAATTAGGATGCTATAAAATATTATATTCTTCATCAACATGCATTACTTGCAGAACAGAAAACTTTTTAGAAATGTAAAATCTACGTATATCAATTTTGTTGACAATTAGAAATCCATTTGAATTAAGTTTTTCAACTACATATTTAACAAATAAAATATTTAAATTTACAATATAAGAATTATTTAGATAATTACGTTTATTTAAGAATTAATTTCGGAATTAAGAATGAATTTGACAGTCTTGATTTAGTTAACTCAAAACACATTTGTGTACGAGTTGACTTCTCAATTTTTTGGAAACTGTGGCAAATATAACCTTAAATCACATAGGAAAACCTATGTATGAGTTGTGTACGAGTTGACTTCTGGTTTGTGTACAAGTTGACTTTATTTTGTATACGAGTTGACTTTTTGTATATGAGTTGGTATGTGTACGACTCAGTTTGTGTACGAAGTGACTGTAAACCATATATATTGATTATATTAAGCCAGTTTGCTATAATTAAGGTCTTCCGTTTCCAACGGAAGACCTTATTGTTTTCGTTCGGTTTCTTTTTCCCTATTATTATTAAGGTCTTCCGTCTCCAATGGAAGACCTTCTTGTTTTCGTTCGGTTTCTTTTTCCCTATTATTATTATTATTCTTCCAA